ACCCACCTATCTATAAGGATACCCATCCACAGCATAAAGAAACCTACTTGCAAAGATACTGCCTCATAGAGATATCTTACCCGTAAATAAGTTATCTAACTAGATACACTCACTCACGTGTAGAAACATTCAACCATCTACTTACTCGCCAGTTCCTAACCACCCACCTTTCAAGACACCAACTATCTACTCACCCGTCAAGACACCCAACTATCAACCCATCCTCAAGATATCCACTAGGGATGTAGGTGAAACTCTCCCAATGAACCGTATGATATACGGCAAGTTATGGTTACGGTTACAACAAAATCATAAGAATCCCAAATACCGTATGAATTCAAAAATACCATATCGATATTGATATTCAAATTAATGCATCTAAAATTGTACCGATCCATTATTTAATTAATCAATACTATATCGATATACAATCCTGTAAATAATAGTTATCATGATAAATATATATGTAATTAATATATAAATAATCATATATAATATAATAATAAAAATTGTTCATATTTTATTATTTTATTTCCTTGAATTATTTTTAGCAAAAGTTTTTTATAATGAATTTAAGCCAGGATTTTATTCCGGAAGATAATAATTATGATTCGTGCTCTTCATTATCTGAATTAAATTATAACATTAATCAACTTTTTACTTATCAATCCTCTCAACAATTACCAAGATTGCTTCAAGAGCCTAATGAAATTATTGTGCCTACTCAAGTTAATAATGATCGTGATGCCTTATCTGGAGAAGAAAGCTCCTCTGATCAATCTACGTCGTGGTGAGCCCAAACGAGATCTAGTCTGAGATTATATTGATATTAGTGATCATTTAGGGGATGGGTATTACAAAGCAAGTTGTAGACATTGTCAAATTGTATGGACTCATAGAAAACCACAAATTCTTAAATGATATTTGGCACAAGAATGTGTAAATGTTCCTCAAGAAATTAAAGAAATATGGTGTGATAATTTAGCAATAGAGGAAAAAACCATTAAGAGACAGAATAAAATTGAATCTAGGTTAGGGTTGTCTTCACAGTTTAATATTTCTAATCAAGAAATAATATCTAAAGAAAGGTAGTGACAAATAGACAAGGCTATTTTAAAGGGTTGGATTTGTGTTGAAATTCCATTTGAGACTATAGATAACCCATTTATTATTGATATGTTTAAAACTTTAAATATTGGATACAAACCTTCTTCATGGTTTACTCTTGCTGAACGTATTCTGGATGAAGAAATTGCTAAGGTTGAAAAGTCAATTGATGCTGAATTAGAAGATGAAATAAATTTGACTTTAAGTAAATATTTTTTTAATATTCGAAATAGCAATTATAAATAAAAATTATATTGTAATTTTTAATCTTTAATTTTTTTTTAACAAATATATTTTTAGCTCTTAATAGATAGACTACATCTACAGGTACATCATTTTATAATTATATAATCACAACTTCTAGTCGACGTGAGCATCTATTTTAAATTAAGGATTACTCTACTATATCACAAACAGGAAATTTTTTAGCCGAAGAAATTAATAATATATTAAATGAAGTTGGACCAGAAAAATTTGCTACAATTGTTACTGATCATGGTTCGAATATAAGGCGAGCAAGACGACTAGTTAATGAGCAATTTAATTTTATTCTTGATGTATGATGTGGTATATATGCAATAAATCTAATAGCATCAAATTTGGCAGAAGTGGATGAAATTAAAAATTTAATCAAACAATGTGGATCTATAGTAAATTTTTTTCATCACTTATCAATAGCTAATGGCTATTTAAAGAAAGGTATAGCTACTATGAGTATTGAAGGTGGTGAACTCAAAACATATTGTAAAACACGGTGAAAATCACTTTATTGACTGTAGACTCTATAATTCATACACAGCCTGTGTTCAATTGGGTAAACTTATTATTTTTAATAAATAAAAATTAATATTATATTTAATTATATTAACTAATAAATTTATATCTTAGCTTATTAATAATCATGCTGTTACAATCTCTAACAAGACAGTTTTCGACTTAATCCAAAATCATAAATTTTTTAACCAATGTCATCAAATAGCATCAATATTAAAACCTATTAAGGACATGGTATATCAATTAGAAAGTCAACATGCTACTATTGCTGATTGTTATGTAGCATTAATTAAAATAGCTGCAGCTATAAACCGTCTTTCTAATATTAACTTATTTAAGTCTAAAGCTATTAAAATTTACAATTCACAGTTTAAACAATTTGCAACACCATTGTATCAGCTTGCCTATTACTTATATTCTTTATATCGAAGTAATTATATATAAGCTGATATATATGTATAGTATATATAATTATTTAATCAATTTAATTTTTTATATTTTTAGATATTGGATTAAAGCGATGTCAATTTTATGAAATTTGTGAAACTACAGCCACAATGTGGCAAGAATTGGGATATGACGAAGCTTCATGTGAAGATTTATTAATGGAACTTTGTGCTTATAAATGCAAAGAGAAACCGTATATCCAAACATTTAATAAAGAAAAAAAATCAGCACTAAAATGGTGGTTAAGCATTGATTCTCAAAAAGACTTCTTGGCTGAGCTAGCCATTAAATTTTTTTCCATTCCACCTTCTCAAGCTGTATGTGAGCAAAACTTTTCCACATTAAAATAGATATTTGTGATCGAAGAACAAGACTTAATATTTTTTGCTTAGAAGCAATAGCAAAAATTCGTGCATTTTGCTATACTAATATTAAAAATGAATTATCTTTTTATGGAAAGGAACTATTGGAATGTGATTTAAGAGACAGTGTAAATGGATCGACTGTCAATGCTAGCCAAATGGAATTTGTTGAACAATCAGAAAAATCTTCTGACTCATTCGAACCTATTACCGGATATTGCAATATGCAATTAGATGAAGTAAATGATACTAATTTGCTAATCGATGAAGTGATCGATCTTTCAAATCCAGCCTTTGTTGGCAATAACAATTCATTTATCGAAAGTCAAAGTATGGTATCAAATAATAATACTCAATGACTTGGATTGGAAAATCTTAATTATAACACAGCAAATTTAGTGGCTCAGATTTTTAATAAAGAAAGTAATGAATAAATAATTAGAATAATAAATACATTCGCTTAGATTCATTTTATAACAGTATTGTTTTTTCATATAATATATCTTTAATATTAGTGTATACTTTTCTATAAGTGTATAATTGCGTAAGCTGTAACAGTAATATGAATTTTCAAAAAATTTACTGTATAATAGCAATAAAAGTTTTTAAATTATGGCAAGTTACGGCATATAAAATTGAATTACGGCATATACAAAAGTTATAACATAAACAACTATATTAATTATATGCAAGTTTTAGCATACCGTATTTTAATGCAAAAAGTCATAACTGGTTATAACTCAGTTACGACATGGCTTTTCCTAATGCTTTAAGTTCTACCTGCATCACTAATATCCACTATCAAAACACCCAACTATCTATTCACCCACTAGTACAAACGCTTATTGATCTACTTATTAGAATACAAAAAAAAATAGCATAAAAGACAAAGAAAAGAAAAAAAACAACAAACAAAAAATAAAATAATAAAAGAAAGAATAAAAGGTAGAAGAAAGCGAAATATCAAATACTGTAATAAAAAAAATTAATTTAAATAAAAAAAGTAAAGAGAAACAATAATAATTTAAAAAAAAAAATTAACAAATAAAAAAAAACCAGAATAAAATAAAATAAAATAATTTAATAAGTTAATTTAAAAAAAAGTTGATTTTAAAAAAAAATATTAATTTAAATTTTAAATTTTAAAAAAAGTTAATTTTTTAAAAAAAAGTTAAAGCCCATTTACCTGGAGGCTTGGTATAATAACGGTCAGACCCAACGTACAGAGCAGACTACAAGTTCTCTGGAAACCGTGAGAGCCAGGTATACGGCGAGCGTCCCTGTAGAAGAAACACTATTGAAGTCACCTCCAACATCTTTAGAATCATGTGACTTCAACACTTGCTATAATAAATTTCTCTCTTATCATAACCTACCATATTTACCTCACTACCAGACACTAAAATCTTTTTT